ACTTCTTGTTAGAAAAAAAGCATCCCTTTGGTTTTATCGGCATTTAGGACAAGTTTGAGGTGGAACAAATCAGACTGGATGATGTCAAATGCAGATTTCAAAAGCTGGAAAGCCTTTTCAACTGTTTCAGCTCGACAATAAACTGTGTCATCAGCATAGAAATGTATGGATGCATTAGGGATGTTTTTACCAACATTAGCTATGTAGATTGTAAAGAGTGTGGGTCCTAAGACTGAGCCTTGTGGTACACCATTGTTGACTGTTAAATAACTGGAGGAAGTACCATTATGTTGAACACATTGCCTCTGGTCTGAGAGATAGTTAGAGAACCAACCAATGGTGTGTTTTGAGAAACTGATTTCTGAGAGTTTATGACACAAGATGTTCTGATCCACAGTGTCAAAAGCTTTAGACAGGTCTAAGAAAAGTGCAGCACAATAATCCTTAGCATCCAGTGCTTCAACGATGTCATTAAGAACCTTCAGTGAAGCAGTTGTTGTGCTGTGTTGTTTCCTGAAACCAGATTGAAGGCGAGGTAAGATGTTAAATGAGTCCTAATACTTTTTGATTTGAGAGTTTATCAGTTTTTCTAGAACCTTGGCTAAAATGCAGAGTTTAGAGATTGGTCGATAGTTGTTCAGTGAGGTGGGGTCTCCTCCCTTCAGTAAAAGAAGAACAAAGGCTGTTTTCCAAGCGACTGGAATGGAGTTTTGGCTTATGGAAAGATTAAAGATGTGGGTCACAGGGACTGTGATGATATGAGCAGCCAGCCTTAAGAAATAAGGTGGAAGTGCATCTGGACCTGTAGATTTTTTAGGATCAAGACCTTTTAACAATTTTAATTGCTTTTGAATTGGCCTCTCGAGTTGTCTTTCATTTCTACTGAGCTCTTGATGTAGGCTCTTAGTGTCCTGTTGATGTTGTGTATTTTCAAGCAGTACTCTTGTATGTGGCATTACGTCATTAACTTTCTTGTAGTCAATCCAAGCAGTGCACAGGTTTGTGGGTCTGGTCTTACAGTCTGGAACCAGTTTTGTCAACCAGTAGCTGCTGTTTGGCTCCCCTTGTGTTGGTGCCAGTTCCCTTCTGTTCCTTACTCAGGTATGATTGATCCATGTCAATATTTATTTTAGCCGCTATGATGCCTGATAGATGTCCATGTTGTACAGAGGCAGGTGGTTGGCTGGTAGTTGTATGAGACTGTCCCTTTCTGGGGGGTCTATCATGATCAGGAGAGTGCAGACTTGGGTCATTGACTCTGGATGAGACCCTTCCATTAGCAGCTAGTTCATCTGTGCTGCTAGGCATTCATGGAGAGCAGTCAGTCATTGCACGTGAGCGCACATGTAGAGCAGAGGGCTGCCATCTATGGAGTCCGGGGAGCAGCTAGAAGGTGAAGGGACGTTTTCAAAGTCCTAGACTGGCATGAGTCCACCATCAGGAGAACACAGAACAACAATGGTATCATGGCAGGGTTGAAGGAGGAAGCCACTGCTCTCCACAAAGATCATTGCTGCTCTCTACTAAACATCACGTGGACGAGCCAGAAGACTGTTGGAAGAATGTTTTGTGGACGATGAGACCAAAACAGAACTTTTTGGTTTAAATGAAAAAAGTTACGTTTGGAGAAAGGAAAACTCTGCATCCCTGCATAAGAACCTTGTCCCATCTGTGAAACATGGTGGTGGTAGTTTTATGGTTTGGGCCCGTTTTGCTGCATCTGGGCCAGGATGGCTTGATCACTGATGGAACAATGAATTTTTTCTACCTGGATTATTGAGCATGCATCAGGATATTTTAGCTCATAGTTATGCAGAAATATAGAAAAGTATAGAGTTCACAAACTTTCAAGCATCACTGTGTCTGTTGAGCCATGGGGCAGCTGTGGCTGAGTGGTTAGAGCAGTCGTCCTCCAATGCGAGAGTAGAGGGTTCAAATCCACCAGCAGTCACGTGCTGAAGTGTCCCTGGGCAAGACACTGAACCCTTCATAGCCTCTGGTGTGTGTCCCATCAGTGTATGAATGAGATAAAGCTCTGATTAGTCTCATTAGAATAATTTGTTCAATTAGCTTTGTAGAGATGTAGTAGAGTGCTGTATGAATGGGTAAATGAGGCATAGATTGTAGCATAAAACGTTTTGAGTATCTTGAAATAAGATAGAAAGGCGCTATATAAGTACAGTCTATTTATGTATCAGCTATAAGCAGACTTCATGAGATTCTTTATAAATAAAATTATTTCAATCAAAGAAAATTCAAACCATCCACATCTACTAGATTCCATCCCAACCAGGCTATTTAAAGACGTATTTCCCTTAATTAATAACCACATCTTGAATCTGCTTAATAAATGGTTCCGTATCACAGAGCTTTAAGGTTACTGTAATTAAATCTTTACTTAAGAAACATAACCTTGATTCAGGAATCCTAGTCAATTATAGACTTGGATCTAATCTAACTTTCATCTCAAAAATTCTAGAGAAAATAGTTGCAGGTCAGTTGCGTGAACGTCTACAAATAAATAATCTGAAGAGTTTCAGTCAGGGTTTGGAGCTCACCACAGAACTGAATGTGCACTGGTGAAAGTTACTAATGATATTCTCATGACTTCTGACAATGGACTTGTGTCTATACTGGTCCTGTTAGACCTCAGTGCTGCATTTGATACAGTTCATATTTTACTACAGACTTGAATATGAGATTGTAATACAGGAATGGCTCTAAAATTGTTTAAATCATATCTATCTGATTGATTCCAAATTGTAAATGTAAATAATAAATCATCATAAAACAAAGTTAGTCATGGAGTTCCTCAGGGTTCAGTGCTTGGACCAGTATGCTTCCATTAGGTATAAATATTTAAAAGCATGGGATAAATTTTACATATAAAAGGAAAGCTGATGAAGCTCACAGCAAACCTTCTAAGAAAGGGGTCGTCATTAAAACTTACAGAACGAGAGATGAATCAGAGAAACATCCAGGTGACCAAAAATAACCCTAATGGAGCTGGGTGGCTCTTCTGCAGCAATGAAGGGATCTGTCATAGAAGCTGCACCGAGCTGGGCTTCATGGACGAACAGCAGGGGAAAAAAGTCACGATTAAAGAAGCAAATAAAAAGCGTTTGGAATTTTTTCCGCCCCCAAACACACAGAAGTCAAACTCTCACATCACCAGGAACTGTGAGGAGTATGACTGGTGGGAGTACAGTGTACACATCACTTTAAAATGTGATAACTTTTAAGATTTAAAACAAGTCACCCCCATTTAACTTTATTAATCTGAAGTCTTAGCTCAGCCTTTTTTTGTCTTCAAGGGTTAGCTTGCTGTGGTGGCCATCTTGAACAGACCCTAAAAGTCAATGAGTTGTACATGAACATCTAACGATTCCTCTTTAAGAGTTTCAGAAACGACTCGTACGTCTTGAAGCTGATATGCAGTTTTATTGAATATTATCACACATTTTCCACATCAGGTTTCCTCCAACCTCAGTGCATTTCATAGGTTAGAAATCAAAAAGCAGGAGAGTGGATAAAAAGTACTGTCGACTTGAACTCGAGCACAGTTCTTAAAAAAAAACAAAAAAAACACCAAAAACAGAACATCGTGTTTAATTCCAGTGGGTAAAGTGGTGAAAAGGCTTTACTTCTTCGTGGGAAGAGACTCAGAAAAACACTGAATAAGGCACCAGGACTGAGTGGGAGTAGCTTATTGACGGCAGGGTGGATTCAGCCGTTTTAGCTGCGATTCGAGGCTAAAACTTCTAAAAACAAACAGTATAATCGACCGTAAACACTGATGGAACGTTTCTATACAAAAGCAGCTCTAAAAATAAGAGCAATTAAAGCGCAGGGTAGGAGAGAACCACACTTAAGGAAAAATATTTATTGCATTACAAAAAGGAAAAAAAAAATCACATTTGATTAAAAGCTTTTTACGGACATTTCAAAACACGTAGTTGGAGAGTCGGTGCAATCAGCTGAGACAGTTAGTCATCATGCGCAGGGATCCAAAAAAATAAATCGGAGAGTTGTAGTTGCATTCACACGTGATTTAGTCTTTTAACTTATTTGTCAGCTAATCTATGACATGCCATTCCATCTGTGAGTCAAGAATATGTTTTTAAACAACTGTTAAAACAAAAAAAATGTGGATTTTATTAGCAGCTAAAGTTAGGAAACGTGACAAAACACTGCCTTGTTAAAGGGTCATTTATTCACTTTTTATAATTATCGGTAAGTTTTTACAGTGCAAAGACATGATATAAATGATTCATACGCACTATACTTCAAAGTGTTATTAGCGGTTACATCAGCGAACAACTCCATTATCCTTATGATGAAGCATCTGAACGGTTAAACACTGTGTGAAGAAACGTTCGAGTGTTTTACAGCTGCAAATGAGGAAAAACACGCCAGTAGTGCTCAGGATTAATGTAGAAGTACAGCGTGTGGCAAAACGGTGTCACGTTTCCCGAGTTTTCCAATGTTAGCTGCTTTAATTAAACACGACTGCATGAGGAGGGGAAAGGCAAATTTTCTGTAAAGAAAAGTTTTATACAGTCTGAGGTTAACATATTAAAACTGAGCTTTGCAAAGAATGTAATTTTCAATTCAATGGCTAAAATAATGACCAAAACAAATTGCAAACTTGTGTATTTTTTACTTTTTGTGTCGCTTTTTCTTCCTATTCATCCATTTAACAAACTAACAAAATAACATAAATCTGAGAATATTGCCAACTTATTTCCCTTAAAAAAAAAAAAACCTACAGTTGCTCCAATTCAGTGCTCCCAACACTGGTCCCTGAGGAACACCATCCTGCATGTTTTAGTTGTTTTCTTGCTCCAACACACCTAAATCAGTGATTTAATTACTTCCTTAAATTGGGCAGAAGCCTGTTATTCACCCATTCATTCAAATCAGGTGTGTTGGAGCAGAGGAACTAAAACATGTGGGATGGTGTTCCTCAGGGACCAGGGTTGGGAACCATTGCATTTACCACTTATTATTGGAATCGGACATTTTCTGCCTTTAGTATTTGCAGTTTTACAACTATAGAAATGTATCCCTGAATTTAGAAAACCCGGCTCACATTTCATCCCAACCTGCCTCGATTTATTTATTCATTCAGGTAAACGTCAAAGCTTCAAATAAAACATTGGATGGATTGCTGTTAGGCAGCGCTGCAGCGTTTAACGTTCTCAGGAGTACCTTTGGAACCAGAGATGAAGAAAAGAAGCGAACAGAGCGTCATTCATCGGACGGTCTTAAGGCTGCGAGTACAAGAACGTTTTCCTCCATGTTGTAGAAAAAGAGACGAGCAGAACAAAAGCTGCTCTGCGAGCATCGCGCCGCCTCTCTGCAGAGCATGCTCTCATGCGACTGCATGCACATGTGCACGTAGTCGGCCCCGAATCCACGTTTCCTTCAAAGACCGGGGAAGCTAGGACTTGGAGGAAGAGTTTTTCCAAAGCGGCTTGCGGTAAAACCAGCCGTCACCCTGGAGGAGGAGAAGAGACGGCTGTCAGCGTTGGATGCGTGACTCCGGTGCTACGTGACGTTGAGCTGCTCACCTCCTGGTCAAAGTATCTGGTCCTCCACAGAGTCTCCGTCTCCGAACGGTGCCTCTCCTCAGTCCGCTGCCGCTCCTCCAGGACCCTCTTGTGCTCGGTGGCCTTTTCGATATCTTTCTGCCGCAAAGCCTCCGTCACGTGCTGCCAGAGGCGTCTGCAAAAACATCAAAGCCATTAAATCGTTGCATCGCCGCGAAGCACCGGTGAAGATCATCAGTCATCCAGGACATGGTACATTCAAAAAAGTTCAAGACAAAAAACAACAAAAAAACCAACGACACTATTTTGACAAAACACCCAAACACAAACTGAGTGGTGTGGTGTCTGCAGGTCAGTGCAGCGAGGGGCCTCCCTCCCATTTTTCTTAAATAGACACATTACTCCTCCCTCACTATGCTTCCTTTGGTTCAAAAAGTCTTATACTGCCATCTGGTGGTCAAAAAAGGTACTACATCCAATATGAATTACCAACATTTTTTTCTTAAATTTGACAATAATTATTGCCAAATGTCAAACAATATTATCATTTATCGCAACAATTTCTGCAACAATTATTCGCCAAGCAAAATTTTATCGTGACAAGCCTAGACCTATCAGGAATTTCATCCATGTGACCAGAGTGGCCCCTCTGTGAGTGAGGCTAACAAAGACCCTAACAAACCCCTATTGTGAGGATTAATGGGGCAATCTGCATATGTATCTAGCTTAGCTCAGCTTTATAACTCGAACACGTACATAATTAGATTTATGATAACAGGATTCCTGCTTTTTGGAGTTGGTGGTTACCTGGCATATCAACAAATGCAAAAAAAAATGTCGGCAGCTATTCTGGCCATTATGTGGCTGCCTGGCTTGTGTGATGGAATGTGCCGTGTGGTGAGTACTCAGACTCCGATGCTGTGTGAGCTGAGCTGTAAGCTGGACGAGATTTCTGAGAATCGCAGGCCACTTGCGGCACCTGAAACTCGCTGGAAGGAATGAATCGATAGGCCTGTCATGATAACAAATTTTGCTGGGCGATTGTCTCAGAAATTATTGCTATAAATGATAATAATGTTTGAAGTTTGACAATAATTAGTAATTATTGTCTAATTTAAAAAGAAAGGTTTGTTAATTTGTTTTGTGTGTAGTACCTTTTTTGACCACCGGATAGTAGTATAAGACTGTTTGAACTGAAGGATGGATAGTAAGGGAGAGAACAGCGTGTCTCATTAAGAAAAATGGGAGGGAGGCCCCTTGACGTGACATGGGCCGTCTTTCTTCGGTTCTCAAAATGGCAGACGCTCGGTGTGGTTTGAGCTCTTTAGCATAGCATTTTTCACACAAAGCTTTTAATTTAAAAAAAAAAAATCAGTAAACAAGTTCTCCGTAGCTTAGCTTCTCACTTTAGCTGCTTTTAACGATACAAAAATTTGATTTTGTACGGTTAAAATGGATTTTAAAGAGAAAGGGAGGGGTCAGTGAAGAGCACCGGAGTTTTTGTCATCCAGTGTCTTCAGAAAGAGAGGGACATGAAGAAACGATAAAGCCCATAAATGAAAATGAAGTCGATAATTTTCATTCATCGTGCGATTAATTGATTTATTGTTCATCGTGACAGGCCTAGGAATCGATCTTTGAGAAGCTACAAGCTCGGCCCGGTGGTGCTGACCACAAAAAGTTGGCTATTTGGAGTTGCCATTGAGACGTACCAGTAGAAGTATAAGGCAGATAAAAATCAAGCGGAGTCGGCCTGACCCAATATAACTTATCTGAATCTGGCTCGCCTGTGTCAGCCTTGAATTGGTCAACTATCTCAGACTCTCCTGGATGTTATATGAACAAGAAGCCCCCCCCCCCACACACACACACCACTACCCGCTCCCTTTCCAAGAACATCTGTGGACCTGTATCAGAGCTGAGCCGGCTGATGGACACAGTCCCATAGTCCTGATAGGAGATGGTGCAATGACTCACCGCCTTCATCTGTCCACGGACAAACTCACCGCCTTCATCTGCCTCCTCATGGATATGTTACCATTTCTGTGCTGAAATTTTTTATTTTATTTGCAACTTTCACACTGTTCCATCTAGGACAGTGAGATGTGATTATTTTTTTTTTTTTAACACCTGCTCTTCCTCGTGTTTCTCTTTTCCTTATCTAAACGAAAAGGGCAGCGCCTCCCATGAGGCCGCGGCCTCAGACACCTCCGTCTACCCATGTCTGTCTGTTTGTGTTTTACTTGATCGGGCTGTGCTGAAATGTAATTTGTTGTGCTTCAGTGCAACGACAAAGCTGATTCTGAACTCCACACTCTGAATTAAGAAAGCTCCCCGGATGAGAAGCAAAACGTCTCCTGTTACAAAATAAAGACCAGTTGTTTTGTTTTTAACTTTTTTGAAAATCACTGTGAAGCCAAACGAACTCGACGGCGATACGATCACACCTGGACTCTGTCGGCGCTTGCTTCTCTATGGGCCGGACACACTTCCTCGTCACGGGCAGCTTGGTGACGTCGACGAGCCTGGTCTCCCCGCTGGCGTAGCTGAACTCCAACACGCCGTTCCACTCGCCCTGAACCCGGCACACCAGCGCATTGGTGGCGTTGTGCTTCACCTCCGCCGTCACTCTAAACACGGTGCGGGACAGCGACGTCAGCACCAACCGCCACGTGTCGAAACATCAATCTGCCCCGCGGGAAACACTTACTTGTGTAATTTGCCCCCGTAGAACGGCTTCGTCTGGAAGGTGATGACTGCAGAGTGGCCAGACTTGGCGCAGTTGATGTTGACTTTACCGCCCAGCTCCACCCAGGGAACGGTGAGGATGGAGCGAGCGTAGGCACAAGGCAGCGTGAACGTGTACTCCTCGTCGTGCTCCAGCAAATGCAGGCAACCTAAAAAATAATTAAAAAAAAGAAGAAAAAAAGAAACCATCTTAACACCTTTTTTAGTCCTCCCTGTGGGTGTTGTTGGATTTCATATTTTTATACCTTTTTATATTTCCTATCAAGCATTCAAATGTCATGTTATACAAAGTGTGTGTGTGTGTCTTTCTTCCAGGGTTGAACTATATTTATAGAAAATGTTTATTAATTCTAACTAGTTTACCTTTACATATAATCTTATATTAGCTAATGATATTTTACAAGTTCACATTTGATATATTCAAGCAATCAAACCATGCCAGATAGCAGACTGATTAACATAAATAAAGCTAGAACACATTTCTTTAATTTAGACTTAATATAGTTTGACTAAATAAAATCCCTCAGGTTCTCTCTTAATAATAACAATTACCATTTAATCGTTTAATCATTGCTGAATACAGGGTCGGTTTAGATGAGAGGACACAGGGTTAATCGTCACAGTAAGCTACAACAGAATGTTACTAGATGTGGGGCAGGGTGATTTCAACTAAACTAAAACAAAAGTATAAAAAGAGATCAATTAAGAACACGTAAACATGAGTTAGATAATAATTAATAGTTATTAATTATTCCTAGAAATAAACAACTTTAACTCAAATCATTTGGTATCACTAAGGTATAATCACGTTAAACAAACAGAGCTAAAACAAAACCGATTTCAGGGAGCCATAAAACTTTTTATCTGTGGAATTTAGAAACTAACGTCCTTCAGGGGGCGGGCTAGACCAGTAACCATGGCAACCGAAGGGCTAAACCAATCAGAAGAGCTAGCTTTCTCAAGCTTTTATAAAAGCCGGAAATGACACACGCCCAGAGAGCATTTTCCGGGGAAGACCAGACCGAGACGGTTTGTTCTTTAATGCTCCAAATATATGCATATATTTTACAAATATAATTGTTTGTCTCTGAATACCTGTAACCCTGTTTGTCAAATAAATCTTTTATACCGAGGGCGATGTCTCAGCTGTCTTGAACACGACGTGGTAACCAGCCACGACAGTGTCTAAATGTTTTCATATGTGGGCCAAAACGATTGGGATGAAAGGACTCGTGGGCCACAAAAATGAGAATTTAACTTTCAACATGAACAATTTTTCGGAGAAAGGACAAAATTTTACTAATTTTGGTGGAGAAAGAGGTTTAAATTGTTGTAGATCCAAAACGTTAAAAGCCTCAAACACTAAGCTTATATTTTTTATTAAAAAGGATTTGAGTTGTTGGGTCTATGTTTGTTGATTTCTTGTGTTTGAAAAGTTCATTTTAGTCTGTATATGTGAGTGTCCTTTTAATAGGAGGTCGATTTGGACCATGGACGGACCAAAAGTCTGATTGAAGTTCGAAAAAATGGTCCAGCTGTCAGTCGCTACAACAGATTCATAGAAGGTTTGATCAAGTTGATCAACTCGTATGTGGATGATACCACGTTATATTCTTTTAAAATGTCCAAGTTCCCTCATGACTATTTTATCAACTGCAATATTTAGACAAGTTTTATGAATCGTTATCCAAAAGTCTCCTTTCTGGTAGAAATCAATAAAGGTTTTCCATGAAGTGAAAATAAAAAGGTTTGTATTTTGTTTAATATTGCTCATTTTGATAAGATTGCTTTTCATCTAAATCTAAACTTTATATAAAAAAATGATTAACAAGTAACTTGCAGAAAGTCTGCATTGACCTCTTAAGCCTGCTGGACAAAATGATACCATTCTTAAACTGCCGTTGTGGGCCATAAAAAAATAATAACTCCAAGAGCCACAAATGGCCCACGGACCACACTTTGGACACCCGTGCTGTAAGAGATCCTGTAAATTCAAACTGGTTTCCAGCAGTCTGTGTAAAAAGCTCATTAATTACTTAAATATATATCAGGTGGTATCGGCGCTTTGCAATCCACTTTACAGAAATGTAAATACAGAGAAGCAGAGCACGGTTTAGTTTCTTTTATCGAGCGCAGGTTCAAATGCAAGTGAATCGCTCTGAAAAACCTCAATTTATAAAACAAATGCAACGATTGGTTTTCTACAGTTTTGTGAAGCTTCTCTTGTTTCACTTTTGCAGCGTTTTTAAATGTTTTTGTTTTTTCTGATGACTACGTCAGACAACGATCTTTCATTGCCTTTTACTAACTTTGATACATTTTAGGAATAAGCTGTGATTTATTTATTTTTTTTACTTAAGGCTCTTTTTTTTGGACACTCACTTTCCTCGTAGAAAAAAAAAGAAAGGCCGAACAATTCAAAACCTATTTCTGTACTCTGCATTTTATTCTGAAAGGTTCCTACAGTGAAAACTACAGTCATGGGTGAGCGCACCCAGCTCCATGATGACCCAACGGACCAGCGAACTGGAAGGAATAAATCATAAAAGAAAGATAAATGAAATGCATCAATAAAAGATTCTCAGCTAGCTGAATTAGCAGCAGCACATGTCTCTTCACCTGAAGCCAGTTAAAGTTGCTCATGATTAGAGAAATGAAGCAGAATATTTAAAGACTATTTGAATATTTACTGAAAAACTAAATGTTTTTGCTAAAAAATGCCCATCCCTGGTAGATTTTTTAAACTGTATTATATGCTAATTATGTGCATTAATCTGAAATAAGTGAACTGTAAACTATAACAGCCTATCAAATCTTTTATTTTTCATTTCTAGCTGAATGTAAAATTGGACTAGATACAATACTTTCAACGATTTTCATATTTTTGATAAATTTGCACATTAATGATGTGCTGCTGCTAGCAGGAATTAGCCACCTAGCTATGATGCTCTCACTAGTAACTAAAAATAAATAAATCTGATTTGTGAGCCGATTGGTCTTTAGTCAAGTTGAAATAACTGATTGGTGTGTCCCTATTTTTTATATCCATAAAGAAATAATTCAAACTACTTAAAAACATGTGTTTAACTCAAGGCCCGTGGGCCAAATCTGGCCCTTGATTTATTTGGCCTGATTTTGTAAATGTAAAATATTTTATTGCTTAAACAAACTGCAGATTTCTCCTGACAGCTGGCAGACTTTGAACGGTTATATTTTTCAGTCATCTCTAATTTTGATGTGGACGAGCAACAGAGAACAACTAATTAAATTCCTGTTGATTAGGCCTGGCGATATTGCGATATTTAAAAAATAAATATCGAGATAATTTCATACGCGATATAAGATGGGACTATATTGTCTATATTGATATTTCTATGTTGCGTTATAATTAAGACTTGAAAATCAGTGTTCTCCTTTTTCTGCCCGTCTGCGACAGCAACTTCACGCGGCCCCTCCCTCACTGAACACAAACACAGCCCCTCACGTGCTGCTTCACACACGCCAACTAACGCTGTGAATGTGGCGCAGCTGAAGAGGATTATTATTTAATATATGTAAATAGTTAATGTTTTAGCCATTTATTTGGTAGAGTTAATAAATGTGCCTGTGTGACAATTGGGGCAAAGCTTTGACTCAGAAATATATTTTTGTTATTACTTTATGAAACAAAAAATATTGTGATATATATCGTATATCGCGATTTATTTTTAAAATATCGAGATATTAATTTAGGTCCATATCGCCCAGACCTACCATCGATGAACCTGCACCCAGGAAATGATGTCACGTATAATATTAAAAACCAAGTTTTGAATTTTGGCCCCCTTTAAGAACACAGTTTGACTTCCCTGGTCTCAAGTAATAAAGAAAAAACAATGTGCTCCTTTTCAAAAACGATTGTTTTGTTCTTGAAGATCTTTCAGGTTTAGAAACGCTGAGGAACCTTCTAGATGAGAGCTGGATTTAAAATCGACTGCGTTTCCTCACCTTCTCCGATCATCGACACACCGATGGACATCCCCATGAACTTGCTCTTGGTCCACACGTGTGTGTTCACACACATCCGCCTCTCTTGGCACTCTGCGTAGAAGCCAGACACAGGGGGGTGATGGGATACCTGCTCAGCCACGAAGCGCAGCTGGAGGGGCTCCTGGGCGGCCGAAGCGTCGGGGGGTTCTGGGCTGCCCCGCGAAGGCTCCCTGGGGGCGTCCTGCCTCCGGGGAACCCTCCAGGAGCAGTGGAACGTCTCGCCGATGATGGGGTTGTAGGGCTTCTTGGCGATGGCGCCCTTGCGGCCCTCGTGGAAGGAGGTGAGGTAATACTCCACGAAGCGGACCATGCGGTCCTCCGGGCTGCTGCCGTCGGTGATGGTGACGAAGAGGTCCGGGTGGGACATGAAGTCCGCGTACATTTCCAGCAGAGAGCGCTTCTCCAGGATGAAGGTGGGGAGGACGACCTGGAGGGAGACGAAGACTTAAAACCGAGGCATCACACAATCACAGCCGCGTCAGTGAGTGAGACGAGAGAGAGAGAGATCAGAAACCAGAGACGAGGAGTGATCTGCCCGAGGTGGCGACCTGGATCAGTGGTTACAGACACAAGGAGAGCGCGTCTCAGCGTTTGAGTGGCAGCACTGGTGCAGAAAAGCAATCACTTATAAAAAGACGACTCATCAAAGAGCAGATCTTTTCTAAAATGTGTCGATAAACTCTTCACGCTTTTTGTGTTTGTAGGACCATTCACACCTCCGACATGTTTATGGATGATTTATTTACCTCAGATTTCTGCTGCGATTTAACTCGAGGCAACGTTTAGAAACACGTTTTCTTCTTATTGTCAGGAGAATTAAGGTCAAGGTTTATGGAGTTCCTCAGGGTTCAGTGATTGGACCCAAACTCTTTACCTTATATATGCTTCCCTTACGTAAAGGTTTATAGAGTTCGTGGAGTTCCTCAGGGTTCAGTGCTTGGACAAAAACTTTTTACCTTATATATGCTTCCATTAGGTAAAGGTTTATGGAGTTCATGGAGTTCCTCAGGGTTTAGTGATTGGACTAAAACTCTTTACCTTATATATGCTTCCATTAGGTAAAGATTTATGGAGTTCATGGAGTTCCTCAGGGTTCAGTGCTTGGACAAAAACTCTTTACCTTATATATTCTTCCATTAAGTAAAGGTTTATACTAAGATGTTTATCACTGCTAATGTTAAATTAATGTATGTGAGGTCAGAGAGTTGTTTTCCTCTCAGAGAGGAGCCGTCTCTGAGTCCGAGAGGCCGAGGTCATCGTGCTGATAAGTGTGTATAAAAACACTTCTTGTATACTGTCCAGAGTAGACTGGTGACTGGGCTCCACGCATTTAGAACTTCTTTGCGTCTGTGTACGCCTGTTCTGTGTCTGTTCTTGTAAGCAAAACTTGCAAAACAAGTCACACCTTTGTTCGCCGGTAAAAACAAAACTATTCGAACATGAGTCAGTCTCAGGTTTTAAATGTTCTCCGACATAAAACATTCATTACAGCTTCTGGTTCGAGTGCAAAATAAAGTCCCGACTTCACGTCACTCTGCAGCTTTACTGCGACTTACAACATGAAGAGACGCTTTAATCAACTTTCATTAAAAGTACAAACACCAGTGAGGGGTTTTCTGATCAACTGCGGACTCCTGATTGATTTTTGCCTTAATTGAGTTTTGCTTTAAAAAAAGAAACGAGCACATAAAGAGCATCTAGTAATCACAGTAGTTAAAATTGCAAACAATCCTTTAAATTCGTAACAAGTCTGCAGGAATTATCCTTTTCTTTTCCTTTAAAATTGACCAGTTTATCTACTGGCTGCCAAAGTGTTGGGCAATCCCTTCTTATAACCACTGGCATCATTGTGAAGCTTGGGGGATTCCCCCCTTTTGAAATACACATCTGGAATTCCCGATGACATCACTCGGGATTGATAAAAACAGGTGCTCTGTGAACAAAACTAACTTATTTTCCGGTGATAAATCGCCACATTTTTACAAACTATGTCTCATTTTGAAGCTTCTGAGATGGAGATTTTGAAAATAATAACGGAATAACGTGGAGGTGAACCCCGGGTGTCTTAGATGGCAGCTCTCTGCTCCATAAGAGCGATGGGGAAAAGACAGAATCAGCGTGCACATTGGGATTTAATAATAATAATAATAATAATAATAATAATAATAATAATAATAATAATAATAATAATAATAATGTCATCACAATGTCAGCACTGTATGTTTCCAAACAATGGCGAAATTAAGTCTCTGCATTTAACCCATCCACCACCAGGTGGTGCAGTGGGCAGCTATTGAAAGCGCCAGGGGGGCATTTTGGGGATGAGGTGTGCTGCCCAGAGACACCACGTGGTATGTAGTGACTGGAGGATTGAACCTGGGACTTTCGGGTCCCAAGCCGGCTGCCCTGGAGCATGATCAAATAAAATGAAAATAAATACAAAGTAAGCTGTGCTGTTAAAGCCAATCTTTTAGTGAAGATTTGTTTTACGTCTAAAACACTTTAATTTCAATATCCTGCGTAATATCATTACAATGAGAAAGAACTTATCTGTAAATGATGCAGAAAAACTGGTTCCTGCATTTGTCAAGTCTAGACTGGACTATTGCAATGGTTTTATATCTGGGTGTTTAAATACTTCTTTAAAAAGTCTTTGGTTGAGCCATAAATGCTGCTGCCCGAGTCTTAACTGGAGTTAGTGGGAGAGATCATATCTCTCCAGTTTTAGCTCCTCTCCACTGGCTCCCTGTCAAATCCAGAATAGAATTCAAAATCTTACTTCTAACCTACAAAGCTCTCAACAACCTAGATCCATCTTATATTACAGATCTTATTGTTCTATGTTTTCCTAACAGAGCACTTCACTCTCAGACTGCAGGCTTACTTGTGGTTCCTAGAGTTTTCAAAAGCAGAATGGGAGAAAGATCTTCCAGTTATCAGGCTCCTCTCTTGTGGAACCAACTTCCAGTTTCTGTCCATGAGGCTGACACATTGTCCAGTTTTAAGACTTTACTTTTTGATAAATCCTATAGTTAGGGTTGCCTTGTTATGCTGCTATAGGCTTAGACTACTGGAGGACAAATTGACCTCATTTCCTTAAGCGAATTGTTAAAAATTGAATATTTTTCATTTGATACTATTTCTATTTTATCATGTGATTTTTGACCTGCCATTGTGTATCTATTCCTCTCAAACCCAGCCGATCGAAGCAGATGATTGCTTGTCCTGAGGTTATGCTAAAGGTTTCTTCGTCATGAGGGAGTTTTTCCTTTCCACTGTCGCCTTCATGCCTCAAGATGAGAGTTCTGTGATGGAGTTCAACTCAAAACAGTCTGTTCCTCATATAAATAATGTTAAATTATTATTTTATAAATATGTGAACGTTTCTGTTCAGTGCCCTCAGACGACTTCTGTTGTGATTTGGTGCTATATAAATTGAATTGAACTGACCGAGGCTTGTTTTTATTTCAATCCAGAGCAGATTATAATCTGATTATTTTGATGTTTGTATTTTGAAGTCTGGTAGAAAAACTATACAGGACTACATGGCCAGTTTCAGACTAAGATGGTCTCACGTTAAGGAAGGACTCAGCGTCCACCACGTTTGAGTTATGGACATTTTTAAGGTCAGTCGTCTGTGGCGGCCATCTTGAATCAGGGCAACTCCAAAAGGTCATCGGATGAATCAAGAAAAACATCTGATGATGATGAGATGTAAACAGCTCAAATTTAGGCCTTGTATTAGAAGTGACTCGTAAGGTTTTCAGTCGCTATGAGCAAACAGAGAAGATCATACCAGTCACTATGGAAACAGACTTAATTATTTGTAAACAGGAAGTGTTTATGGTGCAGCGCGTGGAACTCGACCTACCCGTGTGAGGTCCATGCCCAGCTTCAGCTGCGACAGCAGGTGTAGGATGACGCTCCGCTCCTCCTCAACAGCCCCCAGGTCCTCCTCCTTGTCGGTGAAGGAGTCCTCCAGCTCGTCTTCTGGGTCGATGTCCTCCTGCTCCTGGCAGAAGCAAAGCTCAGTCTCCAAGTGCTTCAACGTATAAAAAGTCAAAACTTCACAATCGGTTCAGTTTTCTTACCCCAGACAAGCTGCAGGACTCGGGGGTGCTCAGCTCCAGCTGCCCCCCCTCCAGCGGGCCCTCTCCCCCCGTGGTGAAGCTGCCCAGGGAGCTGCTGCCGTTCTTCAGGATGTCGGGCACTTTGGGCTCCAGCCACTCGATGGTGGGTCCTGTTGAGCGGACAGCGTCAGACCCAGAGGTACTCATGGTCCTGACCCCCCCCTCCTCCTCCGCCTGAGGCCCCCCCGAGCAGCTCGACAGTTGCCTCCTGAACAGACAAGTCGCTGTTCCTTCGGCCAAAGAGCGGTAACCGAACTCCTCGAGATGGGAAAGGTATCAGAATACCCCGACTCCGCCCCTTTCCTCTGATTGGCTAAACCCTCCCACACTTGTTTTTTTAGCACCTGCACAGGTGCTCGTTCAAATTCAACTCGTGCGTCATGGGGAGATTAAATCTGACTGGCTGCTGCCACATGTCAGTCCTGATGAAAAATGCATCGAGTAACGAGATCTGCTGCTGGAGAGACAAAACAAAAAATAACTTTTTACCTTTTCGAGTGATCAGGACGTTTGAAGCTGAACCAGAGCTCAGTGCTCCGGGTGTTTCAGGTGAATATTTAACCATCTCAGATCTAATTACCTTTCAGACAGGCGCTGACCAAAGATACAGTTTCCATCAATAATGCAGAATAATTCCACTGTCCGCTTATCCCGGGATTACACCTTCCTGCAGCTTCCATGTTAAAATTACAAACTTTTTTCTTTTTTCAATCCTGCTATGACTTTAGCCACTTGTTTTTCCTCACTGAAAATGAACTGAGCTCATTTTACATCCTTCAACTCTTTAGATCTGTTTATAACATTTTGCTGCTCCTTTCACATGTTGTTCTGCTTCAGTTTCTTTCTGCAAATTTAAACTTTTTTCAGCTACTTTTAGCTAATTTCAGCTGTTATTTCAGCCGTTTTGTGCTCCTTTCAGGTTCTTTCTGTTAACTAGAAAATTTTTGTGCTTCTTCAAATTTCTTTCTGATAGTTTCATTATGTTTTGCTCCTTTCAGCTTATTTCTGCAAGTTTCAGCTTTTTCTACTATTACAGCTACTATTTAGCCGTTTTATCCAATTTTAGCTTTTTCAGCTAATTCCACGTTCTGCACTCCTTTCAACTTTTTTCAGTCTAATTCAGCAAAAATGTGCTCGCTCCACTTCCTCCTTTTAGTTTTTTTCTGCTTTTTTAGCCATTTTTTGGCTGTTTTTGCTCATTTCAGCTTTTTCAGATAGTTCCCACTGATTCGTGCTCATTTCTGCTTCTTTCAGCATAATTGAAAAAAAAAAACGTGTTCTTTCTGCTTTCTTCTGCTAATCTATGCTTGTTCTGCCTTTTCAGAAAGCTTTTTTATTATTTTTTAAGCTAATTTCATCTGTTTTCAGATAAAATTCAAGTTTTTAATGTTAATTTCTGCTACTTTCAGCCTATTTAAACTTCTTTCAGCTAATTTCAGCTTGTTATGCTCCTTTCAGACCATCTCTGACAGTTTCAGGTTTTTCTATTTTAGCTACTGTTTAGCTGTTTTGGTGTTAAATTTAGATTTTTCAAACACCACATTTTTTTTTTTAGCTCATTTCAGGTCATTCCACTTCTTTCTGGTAGTTTCAGCTTCTTTCTGCTTTTTTAGCTACTTTTAAACTGTTTTTTTTTTTTAATGCTAAGTTCAGCTTTTTTCAGATAATTTCTAAATTTTTGTGTTCATTTCTGCTTCTGTCAGCCTAACTGGGCAAACGTGTTCATTCTGCTTTCTTCTGCCAACTTAATTAAGCTTGTTTCTTCTTTTCAGCTACCTTTTTAGCAATTTCTAGCTAATTTCAACCGCTTTTGGAGAAATGCCAAGTTTTTCATGGTCATTTCTGCTAATTTCGGCTTGTTATGCTCCTTTCAGCCCAATTCTGATAGTTTCAGCTTTTTCTGCTATTTTAGCTAAATAGCAATTTTATGCAAATTTTAGCTTTTTCTGCCAATTACACATTTTTTAAGCTTATTTCAGTTCGTTCCACTTCCTTCTGATAGTTTTAGCTTTTTTCTGCCATTTTAGCTAATTTCCTAACTTTTGTGCTCATTTCTGCTTATCAGCAAATATCTATTCTTTCTGTTTTCTTGTTAACTTAGGCTTATTCTTCCATTTCAGCATGTTTTTAGCTGTTTTTTAGCAAGTTCTTCAGCAATAAGCTTTCACACTGCATTTTCGTAGGAAATGCAAATTTTTCTAGTTGTTTTTATTTTAATGTAAAGTTTATACGCTGCAGTTGGAGTGTGAGTAAACATCTTTTTCTGTTTTTATTTTTGTGTCTCAGTTTGAAGCGAGCTCCAAAACTTATGCGTTGTAAACTCACAAGCAAATCACTCTCCCTCCTGATGGTTTTGAAACTGCACTTTTCTACTGAACTGAGAACTTAACTATTTAAAAAAAATTTAAACTAGGATTTTACAAATAACTTCAAAATCTGACTTTTGAAAAAACTAAATTTCCATTCTTTTTTTTTTTTATGTAATCACGAATGGACTCATAATTTTAAATACTTTTTAAAAATGTTATGTATTTATCCAGATTTAAAGAATATAAAAAAGCCTCTTTATTTTTCCAGGTGCTGTTCAGAGCACGGCGTGTTTTCTGCCCGGCAACAAGACGACCCACACTGACCTCCCAGGGCGTTCCGTTGCCTGGCGACCTGCTGCAGGTGCAGGATGTGCAGGCACTCGTTCAGGCAGCTCATGGTGGCCATGGAGGTCGCCTTCAGCATCAGCAGGTCCTGGTCTAAAGGGGAGAGGCCAGGGGCCGCCGGCAGCCCCTCGATGCTCTGGATCAGGTCTTTGTGCTGGCCCTGGGCCTGGCTCATCATCTGGACAGAGTCAGAACCAGGAGGAAAATCAAGTAAAGCATTAAAGGTTTGAAGGAGCAGTTATCACCAGCAGATACTTCTTGTTGAAATGTTTCGTCTTTTATCCAAAAGACTTGATCAGTCTGAGGAGCTGCAACACACTCAGTCTTATAAATAGCACCTTCTAAAGTGGATATCCTGATAAAACTGACTTACAATATTTCTCGCTGTACAAGTTGCAGTGTTTTGCATAAATTAGCATGCCCTGTGACTTATGCAGCGAAGTGACTTATTCGTTTTCTTTCCCATATTTATAACCCATTTTTTGGTTGAGATCTGACAATTTCATTCATTCTGACATGGAAAATATTGAACAATACCATTTTCAGCCACTAGAGGGCCCTCAACTAATATGGAAATCCAAGTGTCTCATTAATAGGTAAAAGTGGCTATTAATGAGACACTTGGCTTGACGTAGAAAGCCACTTTCGTCTTGCTTCAGAACTCCTGGAGCAAATGTCAAATCAGCTGCATTTCGCCGCGCCGCCCAGGCGAAATGCAGCTGATTCGGTGACGTGTAACAAACGTGACAAGTCAGCTGTGACGCATAATAGATGCGAATTATACGGCGAAGCAACTTATTTATGCTTTTTTCCACTTTATTCGACATTTTTGGACTGATGCGACTTATACGGCGGCAAGTACGGTAACTGTTTTGGATTCTCAGTGGATCGCCCAGTCTGCGGATGACAGCCAACACTAGCTGTTCACAAGCAAAAGGAGGACGGTCACTTGCTATTCACAGGGGGCTGAGTGATACTAGCAATAACAGCATTGTAAGAGGGGGACAGTTGAACACGGAAGCCTCGACCCCTGTTTAATGATGGACAGTTTCTATTACCAACACTCCTCTCTATCAAGGATGTGCATAAGAAACCCAAACAGGACTCCAGTCAGCCATCGGATGAAAAGGAGGACCACAGACCCAGACCAGTGGTCATTCCCAGTCACTGCACATCACGTGGTGTCTTTGGGCAGCACACCTCATCCCCAAAATGCCTCCCGGGCGCTTTCGATAGCTGCCCACTGCACCACCTGGTGGTGGATGGGTTAAATGCAGAGACTAATTTCGCCATTGTATGGAAACATACAGTGCTGACATTATTATTATTATTATTATTATTCCGTATGTTGAGGTAGTTTCAGAGAAACAGACATTTATTTTCTAAACACAACGTCCCAGTGGCTTTTAAACCCCAAAATACATTACAGCAATGACTGGTTCATCCCAAAGATCCAGTCCCCCGGCACAAACAGAGCAATGTTGTGTATGCTGTTCAGTGTCAGGAGGGCTGTGATCAGTCTTACATCGGGGAAACTAAACCAAAAGGATGGCCCAGCACAGAAGATCAACACCATCAGGCCAGGACTCTGCGATCTACACTCATCTCCAGGCCAGCGGTCACTCTTTCAGGGATGAAGATGTTCACATCCTGGATAGAGAGGAACGATGGTTTGAGAGAGGAGTAAAGGAGGCCATCTTTGTGAAAAGAAACCGTCCATCATTAAACAGGGGTGGAGGCCTCCGGGTTCAACTGTCCCCCTCTTACAATGCTGTTATTGCTAGTATCACTCAGCCCCCTGTGAATAGTAAACAACCATCAAAGCACTAATGATCAGTCGTTAGGCTGATGATCCTCCATATGCATGTGAACAGCTAGTTTTGACTGTCAACAACAAACCGGTTGATGAGAAGATGCTGTTTACAAGACTGAAGGGCCCGACAAACTCCATCCAAACCAAAGTGCTGAATTCGACTCTCATTATCGTAGCTGCATAATGAAAATAGCCTCATTTTGTTCGCAGAGCAGCCCGCCTCTTCTCGACACAAGGCCTCGGCCCAACACGTCCTCACAGGGGTCTTGCGATTGCTTAGAAGTTTGTGAGCATGTTCGTCCGTGCGGAAATGTGCTCGGACATTGAGATGTTCGACTTGTCAACATACGAAATTAATCAAATGGACAAAAACTCCTGGATGGAGACCGTGCAGACATCGTGTATGGAGGAGTCTGTGTGGCGCTCTCTTCATGATAGATTTGTAGTCTCCCTTCTAAAAGGAGTCCCCGAGGCTCAATGGGATTAACCTGTATAAATAAAGGTTGTGGCCAAACGGTGGATGCAGGGACAGAGTGGAGACTCCGACTGGAAGAAACCCTCGTGGTGACGTATACCGCAGTGGGACGAGTTTCCCCAGGAGCTCTGGTCTGTGTCTCATGGACGATGAAAGACGTGAGAAAAACATCCTGCAAACCACGTGACCGCCCGTCGACTGTTCGGCTTCAGATGGAGTGTGTCGGGCCCTTGAGTTTATTGCAGCTCCTCAGACTGATGAAGTCTTTTGGATAAAAGATGAAACGTTTCAACGAAGAAGAACCCGTCCAGAAGACCTGACTTTACTTTGTTAGACGGAGGAGAATTTAAACTCTACATCTGTTGAAAACATCTCCGCCTCTCCTTGTTTTCGTTTACTAAACTCTTTAAAAGTTGTTGTTGGGTCCTGACCTTGTTGTCGTTTTGAAGCAGCCGAGAAAGAAAACTAATGTGACTGTACACAACAGCGCCCCCTGGTGGAAAACCTGCAGCTTTAAAACAGCCTGAACAAGACAACTAGACTCAGCTGAAGGATCCAGGTGGGAAATATTTCACTATAATCACTTTATAAACCTTTTAAGGAATACGCTGCTGCTCATCCGTCAAATAATTATGTTGAGAGCGCAATACTGCACAGCTGCAGTTCGCTTCAGTTTAGAACAGGTCAACGCCTCGTCCACACTGAAATGTTGGCTGACCCTAATATTTAGGACTCAAATACCAAAAATGAAAAATAAAACCCGTAACGGGACAGTTTGGTTGTGTTCGTGGCCGTTGGTGAAACGTCTCACGAATCACTTGAATTCATTGGACGCAAAATTATGAACATCTTCAACTGATGGGCGTCTACCTGATTAAAGATGGCTGCTACTTCCAACTCAACAAAAATAAAATACGTAAATCAGTTCATTTTACAGGTGTTGAGTTCAAATGTGATGTAAAACATTCACATAAGATTCCAGGGCTTTACCTAAAACAGCAGGAGCTTCATAAATCAAAACGTTCCTCTAAGGAGACTAGTTTTGATTTTTCTAACTTTTCATAACAATTAACCTTTTTGTACATACTGTGTATATATATATATTTTTTCCATTAAAAATCATCAAAATCTCTTTAAAATTCTTATAAAATTTAATTGTTCTCTTTAAAATCCGTTTCAACAGACCGGTTTTGTTTGTCTAACTCAGACGTGGGCAACATACGGTCCGCAGGCCAAAAGTGGCTCAAGGACAATCATCATCCGGACCCAAATATCCTTAAAAGAAAAAAAAAACTTAACTAATCCAACAATTTTCAGTCAAGTCAGCTGGACAGTTTCTTTTTTTTTTTAAACGTTTCACCTTCCATCCGGAAGGCTTCATCAGTCAAGGAAACACACAACACAAAACTGATTCTTCCCCCAAACATCTTGGCACCAACATAACTGGTTTGTTCCACTTTGGAGTAAGCTGTTGGGGGAAGAATCAATTTTGTGTCGTGTGTTTCCTTGTCTGATGAAGCCTTCCAGATAGAAGGTGAAACATTTCACCAAAAAAAATAAATAAAATGAAACTGTCCAGCTGACCTGACTGAAAATTGTTGGGATTGTATACCTGGATTATTGAGCATGGACTTTTTCGGTTAACTTTTAAATAAGTTCATCAGGACCAGCAGTTTTTCAATTAAACTAATGGAAGTCCAAATTAAACATATTGGACACAAATACATTAAAAAAAAAAAACAACTTTGATTTAAAATTACTACAACTTGTTTTTTTTAAGTTGTTGCTTACATATATAAATATAACAAATGTATTACAAATATACAAGAGCCTGTTTACGCAAAGCCTGAACACAACTTTGATTATCAGTCTTAAAGAAAATTTATTTTCCAATTTTCTATGCAGCCCTTTAATTGCTTTAAATGTCTTGATTTGGCCAACTGAGAAAAAAAAAGGTTGCCCACCCCTCTAACTACTGTAGCTTCAGCCAGAGCACTGACCTATTTTTGCTGCTTTTAGCCAGCATTTGGCAACTTTCAACCTTTAGACGTTTTGCAACTTTAAGCTAGCTTAGCGCTTCTTTTAACGAGCCATTTG